CTCCCTCTCCCACTCCCCCTGCTTGTGTTCCTGCTCTTGCTATGCCACCCCCGCAGATCCCCGGCGTCAGTCAAAATCATTCCCGTTCTCTGCGTGCATCCAGGTCTTTGCTTGCGCCGGTCCCTCTGCCTAGGATTCCTTCTGTCCGCACGCCCCCAAACGTCAGCTCTATCCATCAGACCCTCATCCGCCCCTCAAAGCTGGCCTTCCTCTAGAAATCCTTCTAGAAGCCCACAATGATTCGCCCAACATCTATTCTTTGCTTGCCCTGGGGATTCATGTGACTCCCCATAAATGCTTCAGCACTCGTCCTATTTAAAAAAAAACAACAGTGTACAGTTGGTACTCAATATGTGTGCTGGCGTAAACCTGTCTTTTTCTCTAACTCTGGATGTTCAGGTTGCGTGTAGATGTATCCTTGCACCTCTCAGCCCCCATCCCCCCAAGTGGAGAGCTGCTGGGGGCAGGGCCTGTGAGCCCCCACCCCCACCCCCGTATGTCCTCCCAAGCTGCCTTGAACATGGTAGATCCTTGGTTTGTAGATCACAGCGGTCTCAACCTCGCCCTTGATTTGATTCTCCATCTGTAAGCCGACCTCTCCTGTGTGCCTCTCCCGCCCAGACCTCTGCTCCAAACCCCACATTCCTCCACCTGCCCGTGGCACACCCACGGCCGAAGTCCTGACTGTTTCTCCACGGCTGTCCCCTACGAGCCAGAAACCCTGGAGCCCGCCGCATATCACTCTCCCTTTCCCATCAATCCGGACCAACTCCAAGGTCCGTTTTACCTTCCACATAGCTCTCGTCGGGCAACTCTCCTCCACGTTCCCTGCTACCATCCTGTTTGAACCTCACGGAGATGTCTGTCCCAGCCGCCTCCCATCCACCCCCGTCCATCTCAGGCAGCCAGGGGGAGCTTTTCAAACCAGATCTGGCCTGCCACCCCTCCCTTCACACCTTCCAGGTCTCCCCAAATCCTTTAAAGGAAAGCCCCAACATTTCAGTCGGCCCACCCTCCTGGGGAGCCCTCCCCTCCCCCTACGCTCCCAGCCTTCCTGCTCCCCAGGGGCCGCCCACCTCAGGCCTTCTTCAGGGCTGTCCCCTCCTGGAAAACTGTCCTCCCCACTGTCCACCCCTTCCTCCTCACCCTTTCGATTTCAGCCCACCTCCTTCCTCAGCCACAGCCCTCCCCGACCAAGATGGACCCATTTGCTTTCAAGGAAAAACACATTCTCTTCTTTAAGAGCATCATTCTCAGTTTGTTACTCATTCAAATTGTATTTGCCACTTAACACGTATTTCCCGAGCATTTACTCTGTGCCAGGCCCCAGGGACACACAACTGGGAACTGACATCTAGCGAAAACACAGTAAACAGGCAAAGAAAGGAATGTGTGCCAGAATGTCAATCGAGCACGGATAAGGAGTTAAGGATGTGGGTTGGAGGGAGCAGGGATGCTATTTAGAGTGGTCAGGAACACCTCTCTGAGGAGGTGATATTGCGGCTTGGCAAGGACCAAGGTGAGGTGAGTGAGACATGGGCCTCAGGTGCGATATTTAAGGGGATACCAAAAAAAAAAAAAAAACAACTCCGTGATCAAGATAAAAATGTCTCAAGCCAAACAAACCAACCAACCCTCGGGGCCCACAGTTTTAGATAAAAACAGAATCAGTAAGAGCGCTGAGCCATACTGAAGCCTGAGGCAAAAGGAGAAATCAGTTAAGACCCAGCCTGTAGTCAGGATCCGGGAGCGAGGTGATGCTGGATGGACAGGAGCAGGGACAGTGGAAGTGGAGAGAGGAGGTCGGATGACTCCAGGGCTGACACACCCGTGCATCTGATCACCCTGCCCCACCCCCACTCTCCTGCGAAACCCAGGGGTCGGAGCCAGCCCCCGCCAAGCTACGGCCAGCACCCACTACAGACTAGGCGCTCACGGGTCCCGGAGCGAAGAAGGCGGCGTTGCTGCGCACGGCCACCAGGGGTCAGCAGAGCGCCGCCTGCCCAGCCCTGGCCGAGCGCGGCCGCGTGGGCAGCCCGGTTGGTGGCGGCTTAAGGGAGAGGGGGTCGGGAAAGCAAGGTTAGAGGGACCCGCGGGGACTGGGGCGGAGGCGGGTTCTAGAAATGGGGTTGGAAGTGGCCCAAGAGCGGCCTGAGAAGCAGGGGGACGAGCTGCTGCCCCTGTTATTCCATCCACCCACCCGTCCATTTCTTCAGTCATTCAGTAGCGGCAGTGGGGGCCAGGCGGGCAGGATAGTGGGCTCCAAGTGTGTCCCCGGGGCGCTGGGGAGCCATGGACGCGGTTTGAGCAGGGAGAGACTGGGTTGGAGTTGCAGGAGCTCAGGCGATTGGAGAGATACAGGCACTCAGGGCGCGCAGT